GAGACTTCATTCATTTTTTATTTTATTTTTGAGACTGATTCTTGGTATGTTGCCCAGACTAGTCTCAAGCTTCTAGGCTCAAGTGATCCTCCTGCCTCAGCTTCCTGAGCCCTGGCAGTAGAGACATGCCCCATCTTGGCCAGCTATGTTGGGAGACTTTTAGAGTGAAAGGTAGGAGAGGGGGATATTAATAATTACACTGGGTCAATACATACAAACTGGGACTATCCTAGACAAAGTGGGACATGTAATCATCCTATCTGTAGGCCATCGTGGGGCCTTGTGCTTTTGGAAGGTTCTGAGCAGAAAAGCAACGTGATCTGATTGAGCTACGCTGCACTGACAGTAGGTCAGAGGGGAGCTGGGGGGAGGATGAACAAGAAGGGACCTGTTAGGAAGCCGACAGAATCTGGGCAGGAAACCAGACTCTGGATATGTTGAAACTATGACCAAAGATGTATGGGCAGGCCGGCTTTAGGCTATGGGGAGAAACAACCAAAGCAATCACACGAAAGTGGAGTTGCCGTTTACTGAGATGGAGAGGACTTTAGACAGGAGGTTCGGAGAGTCAGATTTGGACATGTTAAATTTGAGATGAGTATTAGGTACACAAGGGAGGATCTATTGAGTAGGCAGTTAGTACGTGAGCCTGGGGGTGAACTGTACTTTATTTGACAGCTGTCAATGTGGAGGTGATATTTAAAGCCGTGAGACGGGGTATTTAAAAGAGGAAGAGAACCGAGTGCTAAGTGCTGAGCACTCCAATGGTAAGTGGTGGGGAGATGAGAAACAAGGTGGAGAAGGAGCAGCTGCTGCAGTGAATGGGGGAGCCCCGAAAGGGGGGGCGTCCCAGCAGGCATTTCGAGGGAGAAAGAGAAACGCGTGTGTCATGCACCTTGAGAGGTCAGGTCAGGGGAAGACTGGACGAATCACTAAGTTCAGAAACGTGCTGGTCATGAGGGAGTTTGAGAGACTTTTCTAGTGAAAGGTGGGGCCTAAAGCTTAAGTGTAGTGAGGTCCAGAGAAAATGGGAAGGAAAAAAATTGGAAGTAGCAAGTATATAGCCACCTTTTGAGGAATTTTGCCATAAAGGGACAAGGAGAAATGAGAAAGTAGTGATCCAGATGAAGGGGCTGAAATCTAGAAAGAAAATGACTGGCTGAAGGTCACACAAGTGGTAAGTGACGGAGCCAAGGACGTCTGTCTCCCACAGCTGGATACTTAGCCCTCTTACCACTTGCTTTAACTGGAGCATTAATGGGTATTTTAAAACTTAGTGCATAATCCCAGCACTCGGGAGGCTGAGGCAGAAGGATTCTTGCGAGTTCAAGACCAGCCTGGGCTACAAAGTGAGCTCAAGCCCAGCCTGAACTGCACAGGGAGACCCTGCCTCAAAAAGACAAAAAAAAAACAAAAACAAAAAACAAAAACTTAGTGCATATGATTAAGATGTGATATGTACATGTACCAGTTCCCTAAGGTAAATGTAATTTATGGATCACAAACATATACTAATGAGAAGTTTTTTTAATGGTGCAGATGTAGAATGATAAGTTTGCTTGATATTTTTGGATCATATTTTTCCAACTTCTGTTACTTACTTTTAAGATTTTCTGATGTATAGATTTCTTTAAAAGTTCATAATAAAATCTATTTATTTTATCTTACTGTTAATTCCCATAAGAGATACTGTAAACTGTAAAAAGGAGTTTCAAGAATCAGCATTTTATAGGTTGGGGAAATGGTGAAAAGAAGGAAGGGAAAAGCAAAAGGAAAAAATATATATAAAAGACAGTTAAGATCGTTATACTATTAATTTCTCTTAGTTCATTGAAAAGATAGGTTTATGCTAATATTGTTTGCACAATTAAATGCTGATATCTTATACTCTGAGTAACTAATTTAAAGATAACAATACACAGTGTATTAACCATCGTTATCCTCCTCTCACATTGTTTTGGAATTTCATTTTTTGTTGTTTTTTATTTAAAATAAAAATCTAAAAAATTAGCAGTTTATTTAAATTTAATCAAATATCTATTTTGATATGTGTTGTCTGGTTGGTTTTTGAACTAGCAGACATACCATCATTGTATACTTATTTACCTCCATAAACATCATCTCTTAGCTGGGTATGGGGGCTCATGCCTGTAATCCCAGGACTCAAAAAGCTAAGGCAGGAGGATCATGGCATGTTTGAGATCAGCCTAGGCTACAAAGCGAGACCCTGTTTTTTTAAAAAAAGTGACATCTTACTATTACAGAGTGCCCACACACACAGCAATACAAATTAAATAACACATCCTTACTTTTTATATTTAGAAAACTTTAAGAGCATTTAATGTTTAGGTGTATAAAAACTAAAACGTCTCTGTGTTAAATATAACATCGAGTGTGGTGGCGCTCACCTGTAATCCCAGCACTAGGGAGGCTGAGGCACAAGGACCACCGAGAGTTTCAGGCCAACCTGGGCCAGCCTGAACTGCATGGTGAGACCCTGTGTCAACCCCCTCCCCGCAAAGAAGTCCAGCCAACCAACCAACCAACCAAACATCAACAAAAAAAAACCCCAGAAAACAAAAAAACCCAAAAACATTTCCACCAAGTTAGAGTTAGAGAGTATTTTAGTGGAGATAAATATCAAATGGCCATCACCATGAGAGCACCATGCTGAGTAGCAGTAGTGAGGAGGGAAAGACGAGCAGGGTGGGTGCCTGGCCTCCCGGAGCTTAGAGCCCCCTCCAGGGACAACCGAGCAAGGGTGACAAGTGCCAGAAGAGCAGAGGAGTGAGCCCCTGCTAGCGGGAAGGAAGTTCGGGGACAGCTTCGTAGGAGGCGGCAAGGTCTGCCCCTGCAGACAGGGCGGTGGCCTGCAGGCTGCTGGAGAGACATCCAGACCGGCTGCAGGCCCGGAGCGAGGCGAAGCACCTGCATTCCCAAGCACTGAGCGCGAAATACTCAGGATGTTGTGTGGAGACCAAAGCAACAATCAGAAATGAGGATCAGTGTGTCAGTGCCTCGGATACAAAATGTGGACAACATAGGGAAAATATTCAGAGTGAATAAGCAAAGTTTAGCAGTTGATTGAGGTGTTACATCAGTGGTGATTGCTTTTAGGAGATGATGTCAATAACAAACAGCATGTCAAAACTAGTGGCTTCCCTGCCTACGGGCAGGCTACGGTGGTGCTGGATACGATCAAAGATAAGTCCTTTGCCACAGGGCTGCTCTCTGGAAGCCACTTGAAGGAGGGCTTGCAGCTCCAAGTCTGCAGGAGTAACTGAGCTACGTTATCTCCGTGTGCCTAGCACATATTGAGACATAGCTGACACTTCCTTCCTGAGCGCGTTGCAATATGCTGTCTCTTAGCAGCTTCACCTTTTACCTTCTATACTGCTCACTGGAGGCTCGGGGACTGTGCCCCTGGGAGGATGCATGGGGGCTGTGCCCCTGGGAGGATGTACGGCGGCGGTGTCCCTGGGAGGATGCACGGCGGCGGTGTCCCTGGGAGGATGCACGGGAGGAAGGTGTGCAGGATGGGATGTGTTCTGAAGGGAGCGGTTTTAAACTTGGGCAGCGTTCTTTCTCAGCGCGCACTCCTCCCGGCTGAGGGGCACGCAGGCATTCTCTACCCATCTAACTGGTTTGTGCAGTCTTCCTGATTTTCTTTTTACCAGCAAAATATGACGTAAGGCTTTTGTCACATGCTCTAAACAACAACAACAAAAAAGCACAGCAGACAGGGAGCATTCAGTGGGCTGCAAGGCATAACTGCTGCAACTGCAGCTAGATCTCCCGCGGCTCCTTGAGCCCATGGATGGAGCTCTTGCTGCATTCCCCACCCCCCGCAATACTCCTTATACCCGCCATTGTGATATAATATGCAATATATCTGATTTTCACCCCTGGTTCTTATCTTAGAGCTCTTAAATCCTCCCCTCTGGAATTTCCTGCATATGAAGGGGTTCTTTTGTTATTCCTCATAAACCCCTGTGGTAACTTATGGTGCGGCCTCCGGACAGGTCCAGTCAGTAGAAAGACCAAGGGACACAGGATAAGAGGACTTGAACCTTCAACTCACCCACTGACCTCTGGGCTGGAGAACAAGCTCTGTAAAGATTCTGGAACGAGATGGGATGAGCCTTTGGAACACAGTGCGTAGGTGAGCGCGTCCATGTTCCGGAAGCCCTTTGCGCGTCTTCCGTGGCTGTTCACCTGTGTCCTGTTTAACAGGCTGGCAAACGTGTTTCCCTGAATTCTGTGAGTCATCCTAGCAAATGTGACGGAGTAGGAGGGCCTGGGAAGGCTATTGGTCAGAAGTAGGAGGGCCTATTGGTCAGAAGTATGGTGGCCTGGACATGCCGTTTAGCATCAAAAGTGGGGGCCGTCTTATGGGACTGAGGCCTCAGTCCTTCAGGCCCTGATACTATCTCCAGGTAGCTAGAGTCAGCATTGAATCAAAGTATTCATTTAGACCCAGCCAGCATCTTCTGGAGAACTGCTCAACGTATGGGGGGAAAAACCCACCTCTGCCACAGAAATGCTCTGTCTTAGTGTGACAACAGAAGGAAAAGCCTTCTCTCTAATATCTACCCATCTTCTCAAAGGAGTGTGTAACATATTCTGGATGTGAATACTGTATACAGGTGTCGCACAGTTTCCTCAGGAGATTAGTTCTGAGACCCCGCATATAAAATGGTGTGACATTTGTGTGTACTCTATGCGTTTCCTCCCGTACACTTTAAATCAAATCCAGATGACTTACAATACCTGACACAATGTAAGTGCTATTTAAATAGCCATGATACTATATCACTTAGGGAGTAATTACAAGAAAAAAGTCCTGTACATGTTCAATACAGACAGAGCCATCATAGGTTTGTAGTACAGGTCAGCAACTATCAGTCTAGGTTGGTTGAATTTAAGGGTTCAGAACCTTGGAACTGTATAACCATCTTCCCTATGCACACGCATACACGTACCTATACACTGCAGTCATCTAACAATTGCATTAATGCAGTGACCTTTTTATTTGTATGGTATTGGTATGTTGGGACATATATGGATTTTGCCAGTCCTCGACTAACACATTTTCAAAAAGTCTTACGAATGCGTATCATAGAATTAATTAGTCAGGACTCTCTGGAAATCTTTGTTTTTAAAAACAAGGAGATTATCTGGAAGGGCGGTCCCGAGTCTATGAGATGACAAGTCAGCTCTGCTTCAGTGTTGCTTGTCACTGTCAGTCCATCTCAGCAGGAAAGGCTTCGGCTTCTTCACAGAGCCTCAGGCACTTAGCTGTCTCTCAGTTCGGCAAGTGCAGGACAAATGTTATCAGAATGCAGTTACTAGAACCTTGGGATTTTCTTCTCTTTTCGTTGAGTCCTTTGACTTTTTTCCAGATCTGAACCTGAAAATACAATCGCTGCTAAAGAAAATTAAATATTCAAGATTATTCTCCTCTAAAAGCCACACTGAAAGACATTTCTCCAACCAAGGGATAAGTAATTATTTGAACTGTAATTGAAGATTCTCATGGGTAGAGACCCACTATTTTAGGAGTTTAAACATTTTTTTTTTTGTACCAGGAATCGAACTCATGACCTCAGGCTTCCCAGGTAAGCACTTATGCCGCTGAGCTATATCCCTGGCCTTAGGATTCTGAACATCTGGGATAATTTTTGTAATTAAATATAAAATCCAGAATTTAAACTCATTCACAGTTTTCCTGAGGGAAGGATAGAGGAGCAGGCACGAATATCTTGGCAGGTAAAGTTGATACTGAAGTGTTTACAGTGACATTTCAGTTGTCAAACTCAATTCATTCCAAATTCATGTTCAAACACTCAAAAGTTTGAGAACTGAACATATTTTTCCCATAATAAATAATGAAAAAGCAAATAACTCGTTCTAAGGCCCCCAAAATTACACTCTAAATTTCTCCATATTACTATTCTTTGTTGTTGTTTTTGCGGAACTAGGACTAGAACCCAGGGCTTTGTGCCTGCTGTGCAAGCACTCTGCCACTGAGTAGAGCACCCCATTCCACAGGGACAGACCTGGCCTGTGACCCTCTTCGTCTGGCTGTTCATTGTGTCCTTTGTAACACACTGCTTAGAGTCAGTGACGTGTTGCCGAAGGTCTGTGAAGTGTTCCTAGCGAATTATTGAACACAAGGGAGGGAACTGTGGAAGATGCAGTCTTTCCAGGCAGGTCAGACAGCAGTGTGGGGAGCAGGCTCCCTGCATGTGAAGCCAGGGCAGTACTGTGGGGTGGAGGCCTTCAACCCCTGGAGCCTGATGCTAAATCCAGGTAGTGTCTGGACTGAACTGAATGGTAGGATACCCAAAGGAGTCAGAAATGGCCTAGGTCAAAAAGAATCCCCCCCATACAATCTTATAGAACAAAAAAAATATTGTATTTCATTTCACATTTCTTTATTAGTGTGGACAAGTACTTTTGCATGTGCGTGTTGGAAACATAACTTTCATCTTGGATAAACTACCTGTTTATGTCCTTAAACAGTTTTCCTATTGCTTTCTCCTCCCGCTGGTTAGTAACAGCCTTTTGTACATTAGCGATTTTAGCCCATGTCTGTATTTTGTGTTGCAAATATTTTCCCTGTCTTATTGGCTTTTGTCTTTACGGTTCATTTTTGCCTTTTAAAAATTGTATGACTAGGTATACTAACTTTTCCTTTATGGCCCTTTTACTTTGACATTATTCTCAGAAAGATTGGCTCTCAGGATTATAACAGTATTCATTCTTTCCAGGTTGTGAATCTTCCTGAGTGGTTTTACACTTTTGTTTTTTGTTTAGTTTTGTTTTGTTTTCCGGTACCGGGAATTGAATTCACGACCCTGTGCCTGCCAGGCAGGCGCTGTGCCACTGAGCTGAATCCCCAGCTCCTACACTTTTAAGCCTATATTTTACCTTTCGGGAATTTATCTGGATATATTTGATAGGATTCAATTTTTTATTTCCTCAAAATGTCCATGTTCTAACATTCTTTACTGAATAATCTAACTCCCCTCCGCCATTTGAGTTGCTACATTTTATCACATACTGAATTATATTTTCTTGTATTTTATATTGAACTGTATCCTATGCCACTGACCACTGATTTCTATTCTTACATTATTACTTCACTTGCTTAATAGTATGCTTTATTATCTGACACAGCTGGCCTACCCTCCTTTTTCTGAACTTTCCTCACTTTCGGTTTTCAGTACTGGAGATTGAACCCAGGGCCTTGCACACGCCAGACAAGTGCTCTGCCACTGAGCTACACCACCAGCCCTTTTTATTATGAGACAGGGTCTCACTAAGCTGCCCAGGCTGGCTAGTTATTCTTTCAGGTTTATTCTTTCGATAATTTTAAGTTCCACTTACCCTTTCACTTTCTGCATCTGTTCTAAGGTCTCTGGTAGCGTCACTCCAAAGCTTTCGGGGAAGAAAAGCGTGACAATTCCGATGAGGACAGTCATACTGCCCATGACAATGTAGGGCAGGAGTCTGTTGTAAGCAGCTGCAAACCACCAAACATATGCACACTGGTTAGACCCAGGGAGGCCCTGGACACTCTTGAGAATCATTCTGTGAAGGTGGCACACGGTATATGATAGCAGTTTTCAGTTGGAACATTCTCCCAAGAACAAATCAGTAAAAGATCAGTTTCTTCTTGGCAGATATCCTTGACTGCATTTTTATAATCATTTACCTATTTGATTTTCAGTTATCATAAGATTCTTGCATTCCTGCTTGTCAACTGGTATCTCCTAAGTTACTGCTTAATCATGTGCGACAGATGTTCCTTTGACGGAAGTCTTTGCCTACCAGAGTTCTTCTCTTAAGGTGGAGGTAACTGGAGTCGGGGCATCAAGGGGAAGAGGTGGAGTAGGGTATTTCAGGCCACTGTAATTCTAGTGTCACCTTGCTTTCGCCTAAAACCACAGGCTATCGTGGAAAGTGAGGTCTACAGAGTCCTGAGACTCTTAACAAAAGCTAAATAATATTTTCAGTCAAATTTAAAACAATAAATGCTAAGTGTCAGGCACACTGTATCAAAGTACTATGCCTGGAATTAGTTTCTATTTTATTTTATTAGTACATGTTTGCAACTCATGCAGCTTCCAGTCAGTTTGGGGAGTGGTTACATGTATATATTACAGGTTTCTTAAAAAAAATCCACTTCCCCATTTCCTCCCCAACTCAGGTCCTCCTATCCCCTTTTTGGTACTTGTTGATATTATTTGTCTTAGTTCATGGTATGGTATATAATGTTTACATTAATTGGGGTCATTAGGTTCCTATACATGGCATATCCTCATTCCTCTCATTTCCTTTTCCCCTCCTCTTCACCCCTCTCTTCGTTCCCTGGTCCACGTCCCTATTACAAGAAACCCATCCACCTGTCCCCTTCTACCCATCCTTAACATTCTCTTTGTTTGCACTTTGCCTCACTCAAATGAGAGATCCGTTTGGTATTTAAACTTGTGTGTCTGACTTATTTCACTCAACATTATATTTTCCAGGTGCATCTATTTTCCTACAAATGTCTCAAATCTGTCATTCATTATAGCTGAGTGATTGGAATTTGTTTCTTTTCATAGCATTCACGTGTGCTCATTTTATATGTAATTGGAAGAATCATTCCACCTTCTTTATCCGGGATACTTGGACAGGAGGTTAAGAGGTCCTCATCTTCCTTCCCTTCTGCACACAGAGGTTACAGAGGAAAAGTACACCCCTACATAGCATCTTATTTTATCTAAAACACAAGAAAAACATTGATCCTGAGGCTTTTCTGGAACCTGTGTTGCCAACAAGTGCAGCTTTTGAGGCATGGAAAGCTTGCTGCTCTGGGGCTCCCCCCATTGGACCGTTCCAGTATAGTTTGAAAGCACGGGGAAGAAGGAAAAGGCGCCACTGTGTATAACATAACACAGCATGGTATTACTGCGCAGAGCCGCTGTGCAGAGTACGCTTACATTAGCAAACTGTTTCTCCGTAAGAATTTAGAGTGTATTCTTTTCGAGAATTTATATGACTTTGGAGTGTGTGTGTGTGTGTGTGTGTGTGTGTGTGTGTGTGTTTGAGCCAGTAAGTAACCAGTAGACGACTGGAAGAAGAGAGCAGTGGGTCTGCATTTCTCATCAGTGGAGTCCTTTGAAACGAGGAGGCCTGGATGCTAGACCCACATCCCACCGAACACCTTATGAAAGCCTCTCTGTGGTATGATTCTAGGTCGATGCATTTGATTATATAAAAACTAAAAGTTTTTGCATTGCAAAAAACCATGAAGTCAAAATGCAAGTGACAAACTAGGAAAATAGTTCACAGCATAGCCACAGAGGGCTTCTTTCCTTCCACTGTGAAGAGCTTGCACAAATCAAAAAGAAAATGACGAGAAGAACATTAGAATAATGGGCAGGAGAGGTGAGCAGCCAGCTCGCTGCAGAGTGAATGGATTTTTTTTTTGTACTGAGAATCGAACTCAGGACCTTGCACTTGCCAGGCAGGCGCTTGTGCCACTGAGCTGTATCTCTGGCCCATGAGTGAATGGAATGGCTGATAATTGTATGAAAACATGCTGAGTGACAATTTAATTAAAGAAGTAAAAATGAAGGCAACGGTGATGTTCATTTTTCATATGACAGATTACCAAGTATTTAAAAACTGGCGGGTTCCCACCAATGGTAAGAATTTGGGGAAACAACCACTTTCATCTACTGATGGACTGAAAATTGGTACAATACTTAGAATTCAATTTAGGAATATTTATGAAATTGTAGAAAGGCATTCTTTGCTCCAGCAAGTTTACTTCTTTGAATCTACCTCTGAATCCAGATATATATAAAGCAACACATGAAGGGTGGAGTGGCACAGGGAAATCTTGGTTGTAAAGCTACAGTTTTGTACACGGTGAGCATCCCTTATCCAAAATGCCTGGAACCAGAAGTGTTTTCAGAGCTTTCTGGGTTTTGGGATTTGCATAGACTCTACCAATTGAGCATTCCTAACATGAAAATCCAAAATCCAAAATGTTCCAAAATCCGAACATTGACCTTCAAAATGTTTCAGATTTTGGAGCATTTTGGATTTTGGGTTTTCAGATTAGGGTCAGTCAGCCTATAATAGCAAAAACCTGGAAATTGTTTAAATGTCCATTCACTGGAACCTGGCAAAATAAATTATGCATAGACAGATGTTGGAAGTCTATGTACTTAGTAAAAACAGGACAGAAGAGCCCTTTGAAAGGATATTCTGGTAAAAATGTTAGATTTTTTTGTTTTTCAATTTTTTTGGTACACAGAATCAAACTCACAACCTCCCGTTTGCCAGGCAGGCACTGCTGAGCTATATCCCTGGCCCAACAATGTTAAGTTTTTAAAGCTTACAAGAGATCTATATAATATTATTTGTGATAACAAAGGATAACTCACCAACTCTTAGAATTGGCTAACTTGATTTGGGGAGCTGGGGGTGGAGGGGTGAACTTATACTTTCTCCAGTAATTTCTATGCTATTTGAATTCTTCCCAGTGAAAACCGACTACCTTCACATTTAAGCCTAATTTAAAGAGAGAGCATGTTGACAGAGGCATCTCACCGAGGTAGACAAAGTAGGGAGCGATGATGCTGCCCACCCTGGAGGCCATGGAGGTGATGCCTACCGCCATGTTCCTGACCATTGTTGGGTAGAGCTCCGCAGTGAAGACATACAGCATAGAGAAGGCGGAGGTGACCCCAAATTTCCCCAGCATCACCAGACCAACGGACAAGAAGCTGTAATCTGGAAAAGAGATCCATTATATGCACACAGCTGTGCCTTTAACTCCTTTTGCTTTGACGGGGAGTTTTCATTAAATAAAGTATTCCCACAAGACGTCTTCTCTTCACAAGGCCTAATAATCGGCCATAGACAGGGTGGGGAGTGAGGAGTTGTACTTTGTTCTGTGGTTATTCTAGAGCATTAATGTATCCAGTGACCTTTGCCCGCTTGTTTATTTGTCATGATGGTTTCTGGGAGAGTTGTTAACATGTTAATACAGTTAAGTTTAATCTTTAGGGAAAGGTCCATCACTTCCACACTCTTACTTATTGTTAAGAAATGTGTTTCTATGTATATCATTATGTGTCTATTGACTTAATATTTTCATATTATGAGAAAGACATAGGAGGAAAGCAGAAGTTTGAGTTTCTTTGTATGCTATTTAACTACTTAAAGGTTCAGACCATAAAAATCGCCAAATATATACTGGAACCGGCAGGCACTACCAATGTTAATACTTGAATATACACCGCAGAAGAAAGATTTGAAAGTAAGTACCACGAAATCTGGAAACGTGAGTATCACTCAAAGAGAGAGGTCTGAGTTTATGTTGAGTCTACAAAGAGGATAAACCTAGAGACTTACTCTTCTTTCGTGGTTGGTGATTTCTTATTCCCCGAGGCCAGTTCTTCCATTTGAGAGTAGTTGTTTTGAACACAGGAAAGTAGGGAAGTTAGCTATTACTTCTCTAATTGGCCTATGAGTGGCTTATGACATACAGGCAACATTATCAAGGAACAGGGACTCACAAGCAGCCTAGCTAATGGGGGGTAGTTTGGTTAACTTCTTACCTAGAGGTACCAGCTGAATTAGGAGGAGCACACCTCCTCCAAAGCAGAGAACCGCAGCTATGATATAACGCCTGGGCAGTTTGCGCAGTAACAGCCAGGCCATAATATAAGCTGGAACTTCAATCAAGGCAGAGAGGAAACTGTTCAAGTAGGTGTCTCCATGTAAATTAGGGACATTGAGAGACAGGGCGAAGTAGCCCACTGAGGTTAGCATCCTGAAAGATAAAAAACAGAAGACAAAAATGGCAAAAGCAAGGCCTGAATCTCGCTCAGATTTTGTGATGATTAAGAGATCATCTAGCTCTTGCTGTCCTATAAGCAACCCCTAGGCACACGCAGCTATTTTTAAACAAATTACAACTAAGTAAAATTTAAGTTTCTCCATCACATCAGCCACATTTCAGATGCTCGATAGCCACTGTGGCTAGTGGCTACTGCATTGGGCAGTACAGAGAGGAAACGTTTCCATCTCTGCAGAACGTCCCACTGGACAGTGCTAGTCCGGACCCACAAGTACTCACTAGTGCAGATGTCCCATCTAGAGATCTGCTTATTATTATTATTATTATTATTTTTTTTTTTGTTTGTTTGTTTTTTCTCCGGTACCGGGAACCGAACTCACGACCTTGTGCTTGCCAGGCAGGCGCTTTGCCGCTGAGCTAAATCCCCAGCCCCGATCTGCTTATTATTAACATGACCAAAAAGGCAGAAGTATCTGAGGAATGTTTTCAGGAATACTGCTGGATCTCTTTGGATATATTAAACCAAGTTGGGGGTAGCACAAGGACTAATTCAAAACAAAATGAAAAAGTAAACTTTCTGGCCTTAGAAATCTTAATGATTTTCAAACTGACAAATCAGAACAGCTTGGACAGAACCAGTGACTCACTGGTTGCTGACTCCAGGGCTGCTGCTGAGATATACTTGAACCAGGGGTGTGTGCAGGTAGGGCTGACGGCGGCCTGCAGTGAGGGCGGCCTGCAGTGAGGACAGCCGTGCAGTGGCTGAGGACACACTTGCTTAATTCAGAGGCTTAAACTCCATCCCTGATTTTTTTTCTTTTGTAATTGCAAAACAGGCTGGTTCTAAAAATAGACTAGCTGCAGCCTGAACCTACCAGTTCTGAGGATGAAAGATTTTCTTTTAATTTTACTTTTTTTTTGTCAACATGGAGCAAGTAGGTACTTTTTCTTCTTTCTTTTTGTTTCTCCCTCATTTCTTGGAAGATGCATCACTAAATCTAATCTGCAAAGTCAATCCATTATTTCTGCATCTTAGAACCACTTCGTTTGCTACTGGCAAGTGTGGAAAGCGTGTCAAGATCCTGGCCCCCGTAGTGGGATCCAGGTTACCCTAACATTTCGCTCAATTGCTGGTTTAGCTTCAGGAAGCAGGAGCTGAATTGGCGCCTCTGTTTCAGGCATCAGGGATATCACCAGCCTTAATCTTATAGCCTCAGAAGGGAAGGAACCCTTCTCCTGTGGGCCCCAGGATTGCAGGCTTAATGTTCCTATTTACCATTTTTTTTCCATTAACTAGTTCCACAGATTGAACTGAGGCATTTCTAAATGCCTTACGACTCGGTACTTTTTAAATTTAGTCTCAGGACAACCCAGGCCTTGCCATGTTTTCCGGAATGAGGGAGCAGCATTTGCATACTCAGGTGCTGCGCCTGCTTTTCCAGCTCCCTTATTACTCACCAAAGCAGCAAAGACATAATGGTTATTTTGGCAATATTCCAGGTCTTGAACAGGTCCAGAATGAAAACTTTTGGCTGCTTCAAAGAGGCGAGCTCCTGTAGCTAAAATAATGCAAACGGCCGTGAGTTTCAAAGTAGTAAAGATGCATGTGCAGTCATGATGTGTTATGCATGCGACTCTTCATCTCGAGTAGCTTACGAGTCTGGAGGAGCGATAAGGGCGTCTCCACAGATGATGTCTAGCCCAGAACTTTAAAATGTTTGTAGCCCATTTTGGACAGAAGCCTTAGAAATATAAAACATCAGGCCCCAGTTTCACTCAAAACCTAAGTTCTCACACATTTTTCACCAATAGTGGTGGCTGGGAATGGCCTTTGTCACACCGATCTGTGATCCTGGAGGGCTGTTGAGTGGGGAGGGCCACGCAGCCCCAAATCATAGCCCGGAGGTCAGGTCTGCTTTTTACACTTTGCTTGTTGTCTCTGAATGTCAGGACAGACTCCGGCTAGCTGGGAGACATTGGACAAGTTACTGTTTACCTTCTCTGAGCCTCAGTTTACTTCTCTGTAAAGTGGATGTGTTAAATGGGGAGTGAGAAGATTAAATGAGACCACATATACCAAGCTTAGGATACATAGTACTTCACAGTAGATGCCCACTAAGTTTTACCTGTTATTATTATTATTACTATTATTACTGCCCCATTGATGAGAAGATGCTGGCCGTCAGTGGTTAG